AATCTGAACACAACCAGAGAGACTCTGATGGTAACAATCTGAACACACAACCAGAAAGACTCTGATGGTAACAATCTGAACACAACCAGAAAGATGGTAATGACACTATGACACCTGCTGGGTCTGTCTCTCTCTCTCTCCACCTGTCTCTCTCTCCACCTGTCTGTCTCTCTCTCCACCTGTCTCTTTCTCTTCACATGTCTCTCTCTCCACCTGTCTCTTTCTTTTTTATTTTATTTAACCTTTATTTAACCAGGTAAAATCAATTGAGAACCAATTCTCATTTTCAATGATGACCTGGCCAAGAGGCAGTAGCACAGTCCACACAAGTTACACAAACAACACAGATACAATACAGTATAACAAACAATGGAAAAATGGCTAAAAACAACCTAGATAAAATAATAAACACTATGTACAAAATAAAAGGCAGATTACTGGATGTTATTTGTAAAAAAATGGAAGAAAGAAAGAGAAGTGAGGGCTGGTCAGCAAGTACAGCAGTCAACTATAACTTGTTGCAGCTTATGTTTGAACATGTTGAGAGAGGTGAGAGCTGTTAGTTTGAGTGTGTTTTGTAATGAGTTCCAGTCCTTTGCAGCGGCAAAATGAAAGGAGTTATGACCAAACACAGTACGGACTTTTGGAATGATGAGCCTAATGAAGTCACTGGATCTTAAATGCCGATTGCTGTCAGAAATGCGCAGAAGATTTGAGAGGTAATGAGGAGTCATTCCCAAAATGGATTCATAGACCACAAGCAGCCAGTGTTGTAGCCGCCTGGTATGAAGGGAGGGCCAATCCACCAATCTGTAAAGAGCACAGTGGTGGGTGGTGAAGGGTGCACATGTGGAAAAACGGATTGCTGAGTGGTGGAGTGTGTCCAGTTTTCTGAGGGTGGTCTTTGATGCCATTTTATAAATTATATCGCCGTAATCAAATAGAGGAAGGATGGTCATTTTCACAAGGGTGAATTTGGCAGAGTGTGTGAAGGAGGCCTTGTTTCGATACAGGAAACCCAGTCTAGCTTTGACTTTAGCCAGAAGGTTATTGATGTGTATGTTAAATGAGAGAGACAAGTCCAACCAGAATCCAAGGTATTCGTAGGAGCTGACAAACTCCAGCTCCGAGCCATCAGCACTGTAGACCTTGGGAGGGCTGGGAATGATGAGGTTTTTCCGGTCAAACAGCATACATTTGGTGTTTTTGGGGTTGAGGAGCAGGTGGAGGCTGTGGAGAGACTGTTGGATGGAGGTGAGGCTTTGTTGAAGAGTGGACACAGCAGAGTAAGTGAGGGACCAGCTGAATATATGATGGTGTCATCAGCATACAAATGAATCAAGGAATTTCCAGCAGCTTTTGCTACATCGTTAATATAAATGGAAAACAAAATAGGGCCTATGACGTCATCAAGGACCTTCAGTGTAGCGGTGGTACATCCGTGGCCTTTCCTAAACCCAGACCGCAGGTCAGACAAAATATGATTTGAGTCGATGAAGTGAATTAGTTGTTTATGTACCAGTTTCTCTATGACTTTGGCCAGACAGGGCAAAATGGAAATCGGCCTGTAGCAGTTCGGGTCAGAGCCAGAGCCTCCTTTAAAGAGGGGAAGAATCGTAGACAATTTCCAGTCAAGGGGGAAAACAGACAAATTAAATGATAGGTTAAACAGGCTTGTAATAGGGGAAGCAATAATATGAGCGGCTGATTTTAAAAACACAGGGTCAATCCCATCAGAACCAGCTGACTTGTTTGAATCTAACTTAATAAGTTCATCCAGGACTTCCGAAACCTTAACAGGTTGAAGGGAGAAGCTGGTAACGCTGGGTGATGAAGTAGGCGTGTTAGATGAATCTATTTCAGGGGCAACTGCATCAAAGAAATTAGACGATTTCACGAAATGTTGGTTAAAGTGTGTGGCCATGCGTTGTTTATCAGTAACAACAATGTCATCAAAAATCATAGAAGTGGGTAGATATGGAGAAGCAAGTTTGTTTTCCATGGATTTGACTGTTTCTCTTCACCTTTCTCTCTCTCCACCTGTCTGTCTGTCTCCAGTTAACGGTGTTGGGGACGTGTGTGAGAACGACTTCGATAACGATGCCGTGATGGATTTAGTAGACGTTTGTCCGGAGAGCGCAGAGGTCACTCTCACAGACTTCAGAGCCTATCAGACGGTGATCCTGGACCCAGAGGGCGACGCCCAGATCGACCCCACCTGGGTGGTTCTTAACCAGGTGACCCTCCGATCCACTCCACTCATGATAGATGTGGTAATTAATGGGTATTAACGGGTATAAATGTGTCCTCAGGGGATGGAGATAGTCCAGACGATGAACAGTGACCCTGGTTTAGCTGTTGGTATGTGTCTTTATTCATCCTTAAGACCAGGATCGGGGTTAGACCGGGATCACAGACCCTGACCTCCTCCGTGTGTCTGCAGGCTACACGGCGTTCAACGGCGTCGACTTCGAGGGAACGTTTCACGTCAACACAGTGACCGACGACGACTATGCCGGCTTCATCTTCGGGTACCAGGACTCGTCCAGTTTCTACGTGGTGATGTGGAAACAGACAGAGCAGACGTACTGGCAGTCCGTCCCCTTCAGAGCCACGGCCCAGCCGGCCCTGCAGCTCAAGGTCTCTACTGGGTTCTACTGTGTTCTACTGGGTTCTTCTGTTCTGAGCCATGGCCCAGCCGGCCCTGCAGCTCAAGGTCTTTACTAGGTTCTACTGGGTTCTACTGTTCTGAGCCATGGCCCAGCCAGCCCTGCAGCTCAAGTTCTCTACTTTATTATTTAATTGTACTTGACCTGACTGTGGGTCATGTGTTGGTTTAAATCTGAAGCTGATCAGTACATTTAAGTATATTTAATATTAGTGCTGGGCAAGTTAAGGCATTATTATCACGTTAACGCATTCATTTATTAACGCCAACAATTATGCAACATTATGCAATTAACAGCTGTTTAAACAGCTGTTCGTGTGGCGTCTCCTCTGTCTCTTCCTGTTTCCTTCACCTACATTCCCCTGGGTCCTAAGTCCCTCCATGTACAGCTTCTTATTACCCTCTATGTACCAACGTACATTTATAACAAATACCACACATATTACGGTAATCAGCGTTGCATATGTGTCTGACCACAATACCAACAAAAGAAATGATTCATTTAAGTTATTGTTTTAGAGTTTTTAAAGTGTTTTGTTTGTAATATGTATAATAAGCATCATTTAGTATCACTACTGAGAGTTTAACAAACATAAAAACATGACGTAGATATGTTTGCAGTTTTCAAGAAGTATATTTAAATATCATCTCTTACACACATGAAGATAAAGTTGTGAACAACGGCTGAATATCTATGATCAGAATCATTATAACTGCTGCAGTGTAAAGAGAATACTGCTGCTAACAAGAACCTGATGTGTTTAAAGTGTTTAAACCAAATGTTATTGACCTTTAG